ATGCAAATCGCATTAAAGAAAACACTGGTCAAGCGTGAACTGCTGGTTAGCCAGTAGCTGGTATCATCTTGTCAGGTTAAACTAGCATGATGACATTTATAACATTAAAGTATTATTACGAGTGAACTATGAATTAAGTAGCTAGCATCTCTCATCTACTACATCGATCAATATAAGGCTGGGTTGCACCTTTGACAAACGTCAAAAACCTGTCAAACTCCATACAAAAAACACCGGTTAACGTTATAGTTACGGCCAAAGTAAGGTGGTGAAACTCAGCCTTAGTATCTATTAATTTAGGTTTAAGTTTATTACTATCTTGGCATCTATTTTATCTTGTTCAATCTTTCCACGTTCATATACAGACGGCGGCACATCTTGAGTTAAACATTGCAGTCTATACCAATATTATAAAGAGGTAAAGTTTGTGTGTTTGTATATTTCTTAAATTGTACGGGGTAATCTCGGGATCTACAGAAGCGATTTTTAAAATTCTTTTACCAATATAGAAAGCCATATTATTGCTGAGTGTCATAGGTTATATAAAAACCCAAACAAACACGCGGGCGAAGCCGCGGTCGGAAAGCATCTGATTAATATGAAATGTATCGTGTGTTGTACCAATTTGTAAATTCTGAGCATCTTCTGAGATTTTAAAACTCAATCATCTAGAATATAGGTATGAGAGTAGGTAAATATCAGAGGTTATTGTAATTTTAAAATCGTTTACCATTTTGCAATGAAGATCCCTGAAATTGAAAGCGGATCAAAGTTAGCACGCGGCATACCGGACCTGACGGTTGCATTTCATGACTTAGCGCTTTGTTGCGCCAAAGAGATCGTCACGGCATACAAAAGTCAATGTTAACATTCAAAGCTGATAGATTCTTAGTGTAAAGAACCACATTATCAAAAATTACAACATAATCATTTAACTAAAGTCGGAATCCAATATACTTTGGCAATTTCAATCAAATTGATCGGTCTACTTAATATAACTAGGGCATTAAAACATTCGGGTCAAGTTGGTCTTATTCGGGGTTAATTTTGCTAAAATCTACGTTATTTTACTTTAATCACATATACTAAGTAGGTACATTTTTCTAGAAAAAATGTTTAGCCATTATAATTTCTCAACAGACCTATGACACCCATGGTCTCGCCATCAAACGGGCTGCAGTTGCCATAACTGCACCCATTTAGTAAATTCTACAATAGGACAAATCAGATGATTTGCTGTTATGCCAAGTGCACAGAAACTGTGTTTAAATTGTAGCTGCAACTAGCACGTGTATTGGCTTTTGCCCTTACGATTCATTATGATTTTTGTTTATAACTGACACATCGTAAGTTTAAAGGTAATTTAATATATCAGTTTTGTTAAAACCTTAACTAATACTCATTTCTACACCGTAAAGCGATTAAGACTAGGCGCAGACCATCGATTTTTAGCTGGCCGATAGTTGTGCCCGATTTTAAATTGTATGAAGAATCGGCCAAATCAAATCGGTGTAATGTGCGCACTTCCATACATGCCCATACTGATCAACTGCCCGACTAAACTATCGGTCGACGAAAAATCGATGGTCTGCGCCTAGGCTTACCCATTTGAATCGATCACAAAATAAATAACCGGCCCTTTGTGTTACGGCATCAATCTAATTTCGATTAAAATTCGAGACATGTCTAATCAATTTTACAAAGTTACAATGTTTAACTGACCTTGCATTACATTGCTAAAACCAGTTATAATTTAGATTCACTTTTTAATAGTAAAAAAGCGATCATGGTTTCGAAAAGCTTTGCTGCCTATTAAAATTAAATCAGTGCGTTTGGTAATATTTATTAGCGTTCATTGTCCAAACGAAGGGAAAGTCTAAGCTTATCAACACTAACATAAAAGATATAATATATATGAACTGTTCATTTTCTATAGTCCATGAATTCGCTTGGAAAAAATATGGTGTTTTGCCATGATTTTCAAAATCAATCTCAACCTGTTAAAAAATTCTCATTCTTTAGTACTAACGTCGATGGCTCTTGAAATCTAACCTAGTAGGGTCTAGATTTCGAAATACTATTATTTCTCTTATACATACTTAGGTCTAGACTACGAGTATTTCAACCTTGGTATCGAGCTTTATACGCTGTATATTGTCCGCTTTGTTTATTTATGATGTATAGAACGGTAGTACCAAATACATGTAAGTATAAAGCGCAGGTGCGTGCGTCTACGATATGGCTTATTGTTATAATATGTTGATAAGCCATATCGTAGACGCACTTTTATCGTGTCACTTCTCAGTCCTATGCCAATTCTCTCCAATGAGATCCGGAGTCAATGTCGTCCGTTCCCGTTTTAACAAAAAGTATGAAACGGTAAAAAACCTTCTAGAGTTAGATGCAAATTAAACAAACTGACCTAGACCCCACGTCGGAACCAATCTAGAGTCAATGACACAAATTGCAAAACGACAGGTTGACGAAAAAATAATAGAGTTTTTCATATACTTAGAACTAAATATTCTTAGTAAGTAGGTTTATTTATAAGCTCCCTTCTAAAAATTACGGAAAAAATAAAATTGTTTAAAATTTCGATAAACGAGTTATTCCGTATTTTGGTACTTTATAAAATAGAACTTAAACTAAGGTAACTGACATGGACAGTGACTTTAGATGCCTATTCTAAAACTACGCTTCCCCACTCAGCATATAATTAAATACAATTACTACATTAACTTAATTCAGCTTTCCACAGTGAACATTCATTTCTTCATTGAAGTCTAATATGCTCTACATCTAAAAGAAATTATACAATTATCGTAATTGAACTAACAGATGATTTCATCTTATCACTATCGACATACGTACACCAAATAAATGCACCAATAAAAAACACTGCCACAAAAAACAGTCTGCCGCTTGCGCTAGCGCCGGTCGTTACATCAACGGCGACAACGCAGCTGCTCCATTTTGATCTATTGCTGCCAAATTACATAAAGAAATACCCCCTCGTAGAGTTGCATAAATAACATTACCTTTGTTGGCGTTGCGTCAAACACAACCATTGGTTGTCCACAATTAGAACCGTGCAGAAATCATATTTGCTCAACTCTTTAATTATTTTACATTTCGAAAATTTGTCGCGGCAATTCGTTATTGATCACGATTCCTCAATCGGACGACATTTTGAAGAAGTCCAAGGTCTTGATGAAGTTGTGGCCCGAACACTTTGATTATAATCATTCCTTTTATACCCAGAACACAACTATGGATTCACACATCTGACTAACTTACCTAATTGTAAAGATTTTCATAGATCTAGAATCTGACTCATTCAAAAGATAAGTAATATGTTTTACCGACCTAGTGGAGCGGAAATCAGTTGTTGCCAAAGCCTTTCTTGCGAGACGCCTTTGCCTAGAAATTAGTCTAAAAATGTATTTTTTCTATTTTTACGCTGTATTGTGATCGAGTTTCAGAATACACGTTTCATCAGTGTTACCAATTTGAAAAATGATGCTATTGTAGTAGTCTCTCTAATTTAAAATTATCAGTTCATTGTATTCTGTTTGTATTAATATTATAAAAAGCTGTGGTTTTTTGAATAAAGAAAAATCAAATAAAATATGTAATGAAAAGCTGATTCATAGTTTTGTGTGTTATATACCTCTGCGGCTGAAAACTTAGCGACAACTAGTAAAAGCTCCAGTATCTAATTACTCGTATTACCTACAATACAGGTACTTGAAAGTATGGGATTTTTTACTAAAATTATCGCTTTTAAAATATTGTTGTTCTCGACTGTCCAATCTTCTACGTAGTAGGTAGGCCTACTTCCTTAAAAATTACACAATAGCCCATATAAACCAACCCACCTACGTATGCAACATTAAAAACTTTTCCTACAACCTGCTGTGACGTAAAATGTGACCAGGTTTAAAGACACAATTTTAGATATTGTATCGGTTTTTCACTCGAAATTCTTCTGAATCTGAAAAATCTGAAGTTTCAGCTAGAGTTCAAAATAATTGGCTCACCCTAATCCGCAGAGCTTAAAAGTGGAGATCTGACTAAGTGACTAACGTTATTTTTATAAGTAACAAACACCCAGTTTACGTGCCCCCTTAATGTGTAAAAAGTATCTAAAACTCTAGTAAAAAATTTGCTTAAAAAAGCACCAAAACATTTTTTCCGTGTACGTAGTCGATGTAAGTAATGGAACAAAAACTTATTTGTAAAACGGCGCGAGCAAGCAAACTACGAAATCGCTTTCTTCTTTCTTTGCCGTGGTCCATTCAACAGTTTTTAGCCAAATGACTTAGTGACCTGTACGTAACCGACATTGTATTGATATTTGTATTTCTAGCCAACGCTCTGGTTGCCGTTTGACTATTTTGTTAATAGATCCAGTGTTGCACGCGCCTTCGTTTTTCAATTTCTCAGCTGCTCTAGTTGACCTGTCGGTGTAATTCACTAGCTTTTTCTATTTGCTTTCTTTGGGAAATATTTTACGTTTTCGCAAAATAGTTACAAACACAAATGTTGAAAATAACGGTGCAAATAAGTTTTCATTTTGATTGTAGATTTACTTTAAACACAATTTGAAAGAGAGAATCTTAAACTTCTTATAATTCACACAAGCAATAGATAAATACAAAATAAATTATTTTTAAATGCAATTATCTACTAGCTGCCTAATTTGTTGTAACAACTGAAGATGAATAATTTTGCGGATAACAAACGGATAAATAAAATAATATAAATAAAATCAATGAATTCATAAAAATAAGCTCTATTCATTAATACCTTGTTTAATTACTTGGTGAAGTCCTCTATTTTCTTAAAAATAGATACCGCTAAAACTTTCCACTTGGACCACAAGTGACCAAACAAAGCGGCAATTGCAATCGGCCGCAACGACCAACCGAGGAGATAAATACGATCGGCCGCCGCCTGGCCCGGTTCAGTCAACCGCGCGCCGTGATGTCTCTGCCACGATGCGCGCGACCGTAACTCTCCTCGCAGTCCTCCAGTGTTGTGACATACGCGCCATCAAGGTGCCCGTCGTGTGGGATAGTGACAGTGCAGTGAATAACGAAGAACACAAAACCTCCGCGGATAAAATCCAACCCCAAAACCTACAGCAACCTGTGCCCATTGACTACTTCCAGTACACAGCCAAGAAACCACAGTTCGCAGTCGATATTGCCGCCTTCCATGGAGTCAAGTCACCTGAAAACCATTACAAAGCATACCCTATTAGTCCCTACACCAATCAAGAAAAGCCTGAACTGGGAAAACATCTAATACAAGATGCAAAGAGACCTGTATTTCAGCAGTTCCAACAGTACTTGAATAACGATGAAGATACTAACAGTTACGTAACACCGGCCTCCACTAATTATGATGTGTTCCATCCGTATAAAGCTGAAGAACCAGGATTGCAAGAACTTTACAAGGACCCCATATTAGATAAGATACGAAACGACATACGAGACAGTAGTCAACGATTGCAGACCTACGAAAACGAAGCTGGTAAGCCTGATATTGCGAGTGACGAATATTTAGAGAGTGCAGAAAAAACTGATCGTAAAAAAATACCTCAAAGGAATATCCCCGCGCCATATGAAATTCATAGACCACAACGCAGGCCTATTTACTACAGACCTTTTCCCAGAAATCCTCACAGGGATCATGTGTTAAATCAAAGGTTTAAGCATCCTTGGAATCAGAATTTCGTAAAAGTTCGGCCACTTCACTACCAACCATTACAAAATCATCTTCAAAGACTGAGACAGCACCACGCTCTTACATATGACGACGAACGAAATGAGTACCCACAAGTCCCCATTCAGCAACATTATGAAGAGCCTTCTGATGGTTATGATATTTATGAAAAGGGTAAAGCAAAATATGTACAACTCAGGAATAATCTAGATGAATCAATTAGCAATGCCGTAAGGGAAAGTCGGCCATCAGCGCCGCAAAAATTAGAACTTCAAGCGAATGACAGCGAGCCAGATGAAGAAGATGAATTTGTGCCTATTAAAAATTATGCCCAAGTGCGGAAAACTGAAACCACAAAACACTTACCTAAATCAGCTGCTTTTGATGATGCTGATAGTTTTGAGGAATTAAAAAATGCTCCTCGATTAAGAGAAGCCATTAAAAGTACGAAAGCTCAGACGGTTTATTCTGAAGAAGGATATGAAGATTCAGCATATGATCACGCCGGAGAGCAAAAGCATGCTTCTGATCACGAAGCTCATGCTGGATATCTCAAAGAGAAAGAGTTAAGTAGTGGAAAATACAAAACACCTTCAGTAAGTGCTAGCTATGAAGATGGGCGAGGATCTGCTTATAAAGATCAAGTTTTAGATGGTAAACAATGGGCAGATGATAATAAAGATAGCCAACAAGAAGAAGAAGCTGAAGATTATTCTGAAGATGAACAAGAAGCATCCATAGAGGCTGATATTTACCGAGACGGGCCTGTGAGAAAAAATAACGATCAAAGAAATAAAAGAGAGGACGACTCCACTAGTGGCGTCGATGAAGCAGCTGATGCTGATGATAAAACCAATATTACATCTCAACACGATGTAAACAAACGTGAAACGAGTGATTTCAAAGTTCCTGAAATCAATCTCAATTCTACTTTTCTTACCGAGAAAGATATTTTAGAAATAGCCAAAGAAAAAATTGTGGCAAAAGATGACTTGTCTGAAAAATACCCATATTACTTCAAAGATTTTAAAGCTATAAGTAAGAATTCACCATTGAGGTACGCTGAAAACCTTAAAAATATGCCGAGAAAATCACAAGGTGGAACAGAATTTTATGATTCAAGAACACAATTTGAGTGTCCAGAAGTTGACGATGATGTTGACCCTATTCCTGAGAAATTAAAAAAAGGTGGGCACCCAGACGAAGAAGAAGGAGAGGCTTCCGATGACAATTTGCCAAAGAAAGATAAGAAAAAAGGGGATCCTCACGCAGAGCGACCACGGCTTCAAGGCTTAGGTGACAAAATCGATTGTTTTAAAGCAAAATATTTTGGCGAAAATCCGCTTGATAGTCCATTTTTTAAAGAAGATATTATTGCAAATCCTGAGCCTATCACTCTGCCAACCACATCGATTTTCAAATTAAAGAATAATAACAAATCTGATTCTATCCTAGGTGTGGCATCAAATAATATTGTTATTGGTGCTGAAAACCTTCGAAAACCGAGTGCGGGTGATTTATTTACTCTTCTAGATAAAGTCAATGATAATAAAAGCAGACTATTAGACTCTATCTTTAAAGGATCAGAGGAGTTAAAATCTTCCATTTTACCTAAAAATATATCTTCTCTTATCAATAATACTTCAATCAATCAACAGAACAACGTGTATTCTGACATACTACAAAATATAAAAAATAACTTGAACCTTCCATTTAATAACTCTGATGTTTTACACCATTTACAAAGACAAAATGCAGACCAAAATTCTACTGCAAATGTAACGTATGGTTCTTTCAACAATAAAGAAGATGTTACAAAACCTAATTCACATTCAAGAAAAAAGCGCGCAACTGCTCCTTTTGTATATGAACCGTATAAAATAATTAGAGATGTCCAAATCCCTGATTCTAAGAAAACAACGACAACGAGTAATATTAGTCCACTTATCAAACAACTACAGGCTAGTAAAGTAATTGATGCTGTAGTTAAAACCAACAGTGACAAAGATCAACCAGTAAAACGAAACATTCGTGGTCGTACTTATAAAGATATTGGAAGAAAAGATAGAGAACAACATACCATAAGTGATAACACTGAAACTGCTAGCTTTGTCGACGTTAACGTAGATAAACGCAGAGGTGAACCAAGGTATGAACTCAGGCCTGTCAACCATAAATCCCAATATTCCCCAGTTGATAACAAAAAAGCAATGTCTGTTGAAGATTATGAAGCTCAAACCAAGGAAAAAATCACACTTAAATCAAATGAAAACAATAATCAAGAAATTGTAAGAGAACCAAAAAATAAAAGACCTTCACCGCGGGCTGTTTACGATATCTCCAGATTTCTACCTAAGAACGAAGACATACAAAATCCAGCCGCATCGAATACAGTACGAACCACTGTTGACCGCACATCTCCTCTCCCTACCAAACGAACTGTTATGGAACGACAGTCAGATGACGTAATAGATGACAGCGAGAGTGAAGAAGACTATGACGACGAATACGAAGATGAAGAAGAAGAGGAAGAAACTCCTATCTCGACAACATCTACGACTACGACTACAACAACTACGACAACCACGACCCCTAAACCTGCCTTTAGAAGGAGGATAAGATCAACCACTACAACAACTGAAAAAGAAGAAGATATAACAGAAGAACCTCCTAAATTAAGGTTGGTGACTAGGTTTAGGAATACACCTCGTCAAGAAACAAAACAACACACTACTGAACCACCTTTAAAACCAAAGAAATACATTGATGACGATGAACATCCCAAATATCGGGAAAAGAAGAAAAAAAGTTCGAAAAGCACTTTGGTGACTGACACTAAGCGATATGGTGATGGTGATGATGATATGCAGAAGGAAGAAATCGATGCATTAATTGGTGTTAAGCATGACATGGACGACTATATGCCACTCTATGAAAAAGAAGTTGCAGTTAATAAAAAAGTGAAACCAGATTCATCAGACTCAAGTGAAGAAGACAGTAGTGAAGAAAATGATGAAGATGATGATGATGAAGACGATGAAAATGAAGAATATGATGAAGATGACGATGAGGAAGAGGAAGAAGAAGATGTGAGACCAGATCCAAAACTGACTACAACAGAAGCACCGAGAAGAACACTTGCCAGAACTACTGATGCTCCACCTTCTACAACTGAAACACAGCTTTTAAAACAAGCGGTTAAACCTGTTGTAACTAGAAAGAAAATAGAAATTCATAAGGAGTTACCAGTCAACAACTCTTCCCCACATGTAACTCAGTTTAAACAAGACATCAAAGAAGTTGAAATTATTAAAGAAATACCAAGAAAAGCCTTAAATAACAGCCAAATAAAAATGTTGAATTATTAGATTTGTATAAAGATGACAATTTGGCTAGAGATATAAACAAACTAGGGGCAGTGGAAGTATTCAAGGAAAATTTAGACCTCGTAAATGGTCCCAAACATGGTGGTAACTACAGACTTGCGCCAGATTTGAAAGAAGAAATAGAAGATGTAGAAACGTCGTCTATCCCAACTGCTAGAAGAAGGATACCTAAAGTACCTAAAGACGCTGAAGCTTCTCAAACTGAGCACAAGAAGCAAATAGAATTGGATGAAGACATTCCCAATAAAAGTCTTCATGGTGGTAATTTAAAATCAGTGAGTGACTTAAAGCGGTCAAGAGGTAGGAGTGAAAAACTTGTGGAATTATCACCGACAGAGGCATCCCATACCAGATCCATGCATGGAGGGAATCTCAAATCTTTACAAGACAGAGATAGAAGTCGTTCCAGAGGTAGAAGTGAGAAATTAATTGAACTTAATGATGATCGTGATGACGACGATGACAGCTCTATGCATGGTGGAGACTTCCAATCATACGAGCCTCAAAAGAGCGGAAATAGAGGATCTAGGTTACATGGTGGTAATTACAGAAGCGCTAAGTTAGTTGCGGCAGACAATGAAAAGGGGGAAACTAAACCTTCTCGGAATACCAATAGGGGTTATAAAAATGATAGGAGTAATGCAGCTGAATTACTAAACAGTTTTGCACAGGCTGCGCCAATTCTTACGACTCCTCCAGCGTACATTTTAGATCCCAGCAAACGAATGTACTACTACGTAGATGCGTAGTTATTGTTCTGTGTTATTGGATTTATATTTAGGTTATGATTATTAGAAAGTGCCACGACATAATAATTTCGTATGACTTTTATATGACAAAAGAATGTGAAAGTTTTTATCGAAATTGAATCGATTTATTTTTTTAATTTGTTGTAAAGTGCGAAAGAAAGCTTCTGTGATAGATTAAATTTTTAATTGTAACTGTTTATATTTAATGATAATTGTTAATGTCTTATTTAATTTTGATTCGAATAAATGTTTTGTTATAATATATATTTTATTCTTATTTTTTTCTCAATTCCAAATTTTCTAAATCGTATTCGTTTTCTGCGGCTAAACAATGTATTAATTCATATTCCACCACAAAGCCAGCTTATTAGCTTACATAATACTTGTGGTGTTAGGCAAAACGTTTACCAATAAATTGCTCCAGAATACCACTTCATGATTCGAACATTCAACTCGGTAAAAAGTTCATTACACTTTCACTTTCGGTGGCTTTGTTGGCGCGAGATTAAACTAAATGTATTGGGTCATAATTAACTTCGAAACTAATAGTGGTTATGAAACTCAATAACAATTCTCATTCAGACAGTTGAACAGGAAGTTAAGAAACAGTCATTCTGAATTTCATAAAATTTATTTAACTGGCAAGTCTTTCATCCTTACACTATTTTTATTGAATTATCTTAAATAAATAAGAAATAAATTAAATTAAATAATAATAATTTACAATTTGGTTTGATCGTGAAAATCTTACAGCAAAATTCTTAAAGATGTAGGTATTAACTAAAATTGATATACACATGTTGTATTATTATGCTACTTAATAATTATAATAATATTAATAATAACTAACGGTATCCATTATTTGTTTTTTTCTACCAGCTAAATTAGCTGTTTGCACATTTCTTGGAGGTGGGTTATTAATTGGCTTCCATTCAGACTGTACAGGCGAAATGTAACTGCCCTCGTTGTCCTCTCTGTCTATTGATTCGTTGTCAATTTCCTTTTCATCTTCACCGAAGAAATCTATTATTGGGTGGTAATTATAATTTACTCTCTTTCCATTCGATGTAAAATGTTCGTTGATGACATTGGTTTGATCTTGAGGCCTAAATGTTGTCGATATTAGTTCAGTCGTCACGGATTGCAGCTTAGGGGCTATTGTGACTCTTTTTGGAGGAGGATGATTAACGTTTACAGTCGCTTGGCCAACATCAGGCTCTTCTGACTCTTCATTAAAATCTTCCATTGTCTCCAAATGACTGTCCGTGAAAGATTCTACAGCTGACGTTCCAGATGACAACAAATCGTCAGGCCCTGAGATTTTCTTTCTAATCGGTCTTCGGCTTGGTCTTACTGGTCCCCTTTTAAACTGACTGCCTGTAATCTTGTATTTATTTGGAGTCTCCTTGAGGAAGGTATACGATCCAGGCCCAGATGGCGTGGGTGGTTCTAGGTAACTTGGCAATGTTATTGTTTCAAAATTGTTTGATGCCGCTGGGCTTCTGGCTGATAGAGGTCTTTTTATATTTCTTACTGAACTAGCCTGATTGAAGGAGTCGGGAAAGTATGTGTTTCCGTAAGAGTCCATGGGGCTTGAAGGAGGGATACTGCCGTTGTCTTCGTTATCGTTAAGTTTAGAATTGCTGAATGAAACTCCAGAGATTAAGTTATGAGTGTCGCTGAAAGGTGGGAATGTCTCTAAAGGCTTCCCGTGAGTAAACGGTGGGCTCTTGCTAACGCTTGGTCTGTGGATGCTAGATTGTACAGACTCAAAGGCGTGGTTTCCGTGCTCTGATGACAAATCTTCAGGAACATTTTCAGCAGAGGTTTCGTGTACACGGTGGCCCACTGGAGGGAAAGATACACTGTAGCCCTCTATGTGACATGAGCAACACGTTGGCACCTGAAAAAGAATTTAAAGTAATATTAACTTTTTGGATAAATACCTACCATAATTATATTTTGTCACTTGCGAAAGATTTTATACCTTAAAAATGTCCATGTGTAGCCCATTTTGTTGATCCCAGGTAAGCAGTCGGTGGTAGTTATACACTTGTACGCATTTAGATTTGAAATTGTCCGTGAGATAAGTGCAAGACTCTTTTGGCTTCCTGAAACGAGAAAACAAAATATGAAAAAAAATATTGCAGTTTTACAATTTGATATTTTAGTTTGTGTACCAATAATAATTATCATTATTTTAGCTTATGGCGGACAGTGCTGGTCCTAAACCAAGAGTGTCACAAAGTACGATCTCCATTACACGAGTATTGAAAGATTTTTCATTTTGTCAGTTGTCTTCTAAGCTTACCAAATATAAATCGAGCTTCAAACATACTCAGTACACATTAGCACCTGTTACAATGACATACAATACATAATGAACAGTGTTGATGCTTGATGTGCCGTTGTCTATATCTACATTTTTTATGCATAACAAAGCAGGTATTTAACCACAATCGGTCTTAAGTGGGATGCAGTCTAGGATGGTACATATCTGCCCTGTAAGTGCCTTCACTCTCGCCTTAAAAAGGCCCGGATTATAGTCTTCGGGAAAGGCAGCAGCGGGCAGCGAATTCCAGTCCCTAGCTGTTCGCATTATAAAAGAGCTGGTGGAATGTCAACAATATAGGGATGGTACGCTAACCTGCGTCTGGTTCTAAATTTTATTTAGATTTTTTGTCTTAAAGGCCTTATGTTGCCTCTGTAGGTGTTTACTTACAAGCACTTCTCCAGCCGTAAAGTCTGCGTATGTTCCCCAGTGTTGACGATGTACTTCCATTGGCCAGAGGTGGCACGCGCTCGCTGCGGCCGCGCATACTTCACCGTGCTCGGGCACATGAAGCCCGCCTCGCCCGCGCTCGCGAAGTCGCGGTTGGCTGTGTCGCCTCGTCTGAAAAAAAAGTTGACAAATTGTCATGATTATTGCAGCCCTAGATAAAGTTACATTCCTGACAGTTAACCTCGTTTCGTATACTATTGCAAATTTTGAGGTGCTTGTTCTTTAATACGAGTAGATTTCCAACAAACCGTCTAGAGAATGGGTACCCATATCACTGATTTTAGTTTTTGAAATAAGTTATTATCAGGCCGATAGTTAAAAGGGCGCATCTAACACCAACTGCGCCTTTTCTACTATCGGGGGCAACGTGACAGAATAACGCAGTCTAGACTTTTTATTCTGTAATCACAACCTAATATTATGATAGTGTAAGGTCGTCGAATAATAAAGCTAGATTCCGGAAAAAATGCTCTGTATACATTTAATTTGAAAAATCTGGAGTCTGGAGCTTCATTCTCAGTGCTCTTGGATACCTATCTTCCAATCCGACTAAGCCTACTCTTTAACATCAAACTATCGTAAGGTTCATCAAAAGCTTCATGATTTCTTCGGAGTTGAACTGCCGTGGTTGATATTTATAATCTTCAGTTCTCACAGCTGCCTTCAAGTTAACAAATCATATTCACCTATTGGACACCAAGTAGTGCTCAGCCGTGTACTTGGCCTCCTGGGCGGCGGTGACTCCGTCCACCGCGCCATCTCCAGGGTCCCGGAAGTCGGCCAGCAGCGCGCCGGCCGCTGCCTTGTTGCGACGGATGGACTGCACTATGGCTTCCCTGGAACAAGGAGTAAATGATCAGTAGGTGACGGTTAAAGAAGAGGAATTTAAAGAGTCTTATGCCCGTTTTCACCATCAATCTCTATTTTTTAAGTGACCCCTATGGTAACAAATAACAGGAATTTTGGTGTCATAGGGGTTACTTAAAAATTAGGGATTGATGCTGAAAACGGGCATTATTTCTTGTTGTTTAATGGCTGACACTGTCGAGTTATTGAGTCAACAGTGTCATTGTCAGACTGCCGATACAAGGGTCGGTTCGCACCCTGTCATCCGCTGGACTATTGTGATGAATGGACCCATTCGCACGAAACACAAACAGTAGGACAGTTGGTGGGTTTAACGGGAATTTGTGCAATACAAACTCTTAAAGAATTATATTTTTTTGGAAATTTTAATTTATGATATTAACTGCCATTATTAATTAATGCGTGCCTTTTTAACAACAAACAAAATCACATTATATCATTATATCATAGATTCTTCCTGCATTTTTTATACGTTAAATTGTTAATAAATTTTAATAAGGGTATGCTATGTAAAGCCTTCTTATCTTATTATACGTACTTAAGGTTCTTCCTTTTACTGAAATAGTAATTTTACGACAAACCAAATTCTATGCGTGTCTTGAACTTTGGTCGGTACCTACTTTATAAAATAAAAGTTAATCGTCAGCGTGACAATTCAAAACCACTTTGTCGTCCATTTTAGTAGAGACAATAAATATGACTGTGTACTTTCTCACAAATACACTATAGACAGTCATTTACACGCCATTCAAGATATTTATCTCCGTGAGAAAGTAAATAGAAATAGTAAAGCTGTTTTTAAGCAAACAATAAGTTGGCAATGAAATTAAACGCTTTGTAAGACGCTTTTGAGCGCGATGACTGACCAAAATTACTGGACATTATAAGCAGTCACGAATATTTTTGTAAGTGGTATTATCGTATTATTCGCACTTGTGACAATCGTTTTCCAATCAATCGTTCAGTTAATCTTCATGCCAAAAAACCAAGGCAATGGGTGGAAATCAAAACGCCGGGCACTCCGTTTAGCGTCGTCTTGGGCCTGCTTTATTTTATTTATTCTGTTCTCTGGCTTGACCTTTGTAGTGTGTAGCTATAAATCACTTTCTTCAAAATCAAAATCAGGAATCAAAGTGGTGAAGTCCAGTTCCAAGGGTGAAATCACGTTTTTGTTGCGTGACTTGCGTGGCAGCATGTGGTCGTCAATAAATCTTCAACCATTTTCTTTTATTTTTTTGTTTTTTTTTCTTTTCTCTGTTTTTTTTTTTTCCCGTTTCACGCCTTTGAGTTTTGTGGCATTCACAGGGGAAGTGAAATAGCTTAAGGGTATTTAAATGGTATAATTTATCCCATCAAAAACAATACTTGTCAAAAAAACCAAGTCTCGCAACTCAGTTGTTCTACCGTAAAAAGTTGTGAGATCCATGTAATACCAAGTCCAGGCCAGGAAATCTTTAACGTTTTACA